GTGATTTTTGACTTGTGAGTCCTCGTGAGTGTGGGGCAGTTAACCATATATGGGCGTACGGGCCTAATCTTTTTTTTTTTTGGGGGGGGGCACAGTACTAGTTTGCCCACAGGCGGCCCAATCTCCGAATGTTCTATATATTTTGAATATTTATGCGGAATATTTCAATCAGAGGTCCTATGTAGTCCAGTGCCAGTACTGATGACCGTTCAAGTACGACGAAAACGTAAAGCAATCGCACCAACTAAACTCAGAAACACAACAAATGCATTCTATTAACAAGTTGGATAGATTTTTTACATATACTGCTAATATTTTTTTGAATTATTTCGTTATTATATATTATAACGGTTAAATATTCCGTATAAATATTCAAAATATGTAGAACATTCGGAGATTGGGCCGCCTGTGGTTGCCCGACCGTTGCTAATTAATACGCCCGGCAAAATACCCGGGGCCCGGAGTGCTCAGAGGGGCCCGGAAATCTCCATGAAGTGTTCGTATTGTTTATCATCGCTTTATGTTTGTCCTAAATGAAATACGCCTACTTGCACACTATCCGCTGATCGTCGTCATCGATCGTAAAACGTACCAAATGTGAAATAAACGATTTTTGGATCGTTTTCTCAGCAAAAACAGTTAGCTGAACATCGTTCACATTGCGTTTTTATCAGTTATGCAGCGATTTCTTGTAAGTAATTCGCTGGCAATTCTCTCGCTGATTGCATTAAAAATAGCCAGCGGGAGAGTCGAGAGAGACAGGGGGCCCGTGTTCACCAATCGTCATTTTGTCCCGGGGCCCGTGGTTGGCTCTCGCCGGCCTTGTCCATGCTTGCCGCTTTCGTAAGAATTTTGTGTCAGACCAACGTCCCCTGCACACTTTCAGAATTCCACTTTCCAAAAGACTTGTCGAGAAGAATGTGCCCGTGCACATGAGATACCAAAATAACGTATGCTCATAAGCACGTTCATATGTTACGTACCGAAATCTAGTGTGCTCATGAGCACTATCCTAGCTATACACGAAAATCCAGTATCATCACGAGAATGCTCCTGAGTATCAGTTACTGGATTTTGGTATATATCACGTTGGTCATGAGCATACTGGATTCTGGTACATGAATGAGCATGTTTATGAGTATATCTTATTGTGGTATCTCATGAGCACGCTTATATAGATATACAGTATGTACCAAAATCAGTTAAAATCCAGTATGCTCATGAGCATCCTCGTATATATACTGAAATAACTGAAATACAGTATCCGCCTGAGAATGCCCATGTTGCTGGATTTTGATACATATATGAGCATGTTCATGAGATACCAAAAGGAGGTATATATGCATGTACTAAAATCCAGTATCAGGACATTTTTTAAGAAATTACAACTACTGCTGGGGCTCAATGACAATGACTGAATGAGGGCCTTTTCCTCACACAGTTTATATGTACTATTTACAACATGAGCGGCCGTGTTGTATCGGATATACAAACTCGAGCCGAAGGGGAGAGTTTGTATATCCGATACAACACGGACGCGATCTTATGAGTTCATTGGCGAAGTAATTTTAAAAATAAACGTTGTCTAAGCCGAGAAAATCAAAGTTAAAGTTTATGTAAATCAACGTACACGAATCTGTATCACATATACAGACTCCTTCACGCCCATGATTTCTTTTGTGTTTTCTTCATGAATTATTAATGAGTTTTTTAAGCGTACATAAAAACCATGCTGCGCTGACTTGAATGGAATGTCGAGACTGTGAGAGGGTATAAGAAAGCAGGCAAATACAGCTTTTTCAATTCGGATAACCCTCTACTAATGATCAAAAGGGCCCAGCTCATCTGAAAATATTGCTTCACTACTGGGGCAAGCAAAGGGTCTACTGGGGTAAATGCCCCAGTAGTTGTATAGTATTAAAAAATGCCCTGTCAGTATGCTCATGGGCACCATCCTATCTACCAAAATCCAGTATCCTTACGAGCTAGCATGTTCATGAGTATGTTACTCTATTTTGGTACATATATGAACGTGCTCATGTGCATACTGGATTTTTGTACTTATATGAGCGTGTTTATTTGAGCATACCTTCTTTCGTACCTCATCAGTACGGTCATACATGTACCAAATTCCAGTATGCCATGGACACCCTAGTATGGATCAAAATCCAGTATCTTTATAAGAATGCCCATCAGTATGTTACTGGATTTTGGTACATATATGACCGTGATCATGAGATACCAAAATAAGGTATGCTCATAAGCACGCTCATAGATGTACCAAAATGATGTGAAGTGAACGATAAAGTAACCGTGAATATCCCGTACAAGATCACGAGAAATGTGAAGACCAAAAACGTTGAAACAAAACGCATGAAAAAAGATTACCTTATTGTGTATAATAAACGTGTTATAATAGATGATTACAAAACATTACCTTATGGATTTTTAATACAGTTAAAAAAGTTTTAAAAAACAGTTATATATTTGTTGAAATATAGTTGTATTTATTGAAACACAAAGAACAGTTGTAACTGTTTTTACAAAATCGTTTGATATCAAAGTTAATTTCCGATTTCAGTTTGTGATAATGATCCAGATTCACCCCGGTTTCTTCTTCCAACTCCGTGATTTTTTCTCAACTTCTTCATTTTTTCTAGCAAGATCCCACATCATCATTTCTTTGGCGTTCATACGGTCTGTTAAACCCGTTAATGTTTCCGATATGATTTGCGTTAACATGATCGAGTGCAGCGTCGGATTGTCAATAAACATTAATTGCCGGTATCATATTCATATGTATCAAAAGACAAAAGCCTCATCAAATCCAAGGTTGCAAAATTCCCTTCCTTCATTATGATTTTGTCCGAAGGCGGAAGCTATTGGGTCACGATGTTTCTCCAAGACATCTTGGTTCAAACCTTTGTATGATCTGATCAAAAATCAGAAAATGTATAGGGTTTTTATAGGTTTTGCTCACAGAACAATTTCCATCTTGTCGACAAACTTTCCCATTACATCGTAATTTGTGGAAATGCATCCGTGTCTAACGCAAACGTACCAAATCTTTTCGATGAATTCCTGATTGGTAATTGTTTTATAGTCATCAAAAAACGGGAACCCGTTTCTCTCTAGCTCTTGTTCAGTCACGTAATTGAAGATTTTATTCTCAAAACTATAGGGCAACACATGTTGACATGGAGCACGAGCTGCTTCTTAGCTATAAATCGTATATCGATAGTCATCTAGACGCCGTCCAACAAATAATAATTTCGATTTAAATCTGTAGCAGCGTCGTGCTTTTATAGGATTGTTGCAATAAATGAAAGTTTCATGTTTCAATGCCCGTCTGTTTTCCACGAAAAAAATGGTTTTCCAATCGTCCAATTCCTTGATCAATTGATTTCTTTTGTTTCTGAAGCCTTTTCCAAAGCATAATCAAAGTACAAACGTAACTGTTTGTCCCTTTTCATTGTGATGCGCTGCAGGGCCTTTTTTAACATATCAGTTGCTGGGGCAAATGCCCCCAGTCCCCCTTGTGCCCGCCCCCCCCCCCCCCACGAAATCACATCCCCCCTCAGGAAAAGTCCCTTTTTCCTAAATTCATACAAACAAACCAGCGAAGAATAACAAATAAATAAACGGAAAGTAAGTTTTAGGCTTTATCCTTTGTCCTTTTTTAACAAAATCGATTGAAATTGATGAACTGAGATAGATGAACTAAGTGTCATACGTTGTTTCCATCAACCAAATCGACATTGTGTGTATTAGTGAGACTTGGCTTTCCTCTAAGATCCCGATTCTGCAATATCTCTTCCAAATTTTAATGTTATTAGAAATGATCGCTCTTCGTCTTGTGGAGGTGGAGTATGCATTTTTATAAACAACAGTATATATTGTCAACGCCTAACTGCTTTTGAAGATCCTACAATTGAGTCCTTGTGGCTTCTCGTTAGACCAACATGGCTCCCCCGCTCGACTTCAGTTATACTATTGGCTGTAATCTACCACTCCACATCAGCTGGCCACACCGAAAATGTAAACCTTTATTCTCATATCCAAACCAATGTTGATACTTTCATGCAATCATGTCAGAAGAAGTTATATTGCTTCACTACAATTTTACAATCATTCATTAGTTACTTAGTATAATTCTAAATGGAGTGAAGCAGGCTCTCCAAAATAACCAATAGGCTAATCAGAGCTGGAGGCCAAAGATACCGAATAATAATAAAAGGAATTAATGCAGCAAGATATTAAGAACCAAAAAGAAAAGAAAAGAAAGAAATGATATAAAAAACTACTTTCTGAATTTTTTTTAAAAAGTTAGTACGAATCAACAAAATTAGCTTTAAGTTTTCGTTTGAGCTGAGTGAATGTCAATCTTTTGTCAAAATCGCTGAGTGCATTCCATACCTTGACACCCCGATATCTAATGTTAAATAAACCAAAATTTGTCCTGGGTTTAGGTAATGATAAACAAAGTCCCGACGCAAGTCTTGTATTATATGAATGTAATTGATGCATAGGTGCGAAGTAATCGTTAAAATTTAAAGGCAGAAGGCAATTACGAAATTTATACATGAACATTGTCATTAATAATGTGATCAGATCACTTAACTTTATGAGTCGAATGCGCTTAAAGATTCATGGACTGGAATGTTCATCAAACGGAGAAAAAGTTATAATGCGAATGGCTTTTTTTGTAGCACAACTAGTGGTTTAAATGTAGTTGGGTAAGTGTTTCCCCAGATTATTAAAGCATAGAGTAAAAAAGGTATATAATGGCATAATACAACTTAATGCCTCAATTCGGTTAGTTAATATGTAAGAGAGCTATATATGAGACAGTAAAGCACACACAATGTTGTGGGAGAAGGGTTGTTGGGGAGAAATGCTCCGAATATATACTTTCAACTGGTCAACGTGTCACCCCACTGACTCACAGTTACTCTAATTAATGCCCTCGGGGGTCTGGGTCCCCATATTCGGCTGTTCTCTTTACAAGTAGTAACTATTCTACTGTTCAGTAAACGCTGCGAGCATTGCAGTCCATGCTAGTCTGTCTTGATAATGACCCATGCAATATAACAACAGGCTATAATACAGTTTGTTTGTTTTTTTGTTTGTTTTTTTACTAAGCTATGATAAAGTGGTGCAACATCATTGACGGGTGGGGTGGGTGGAATTTAAGCAATTTTTTCGCTGTGAAGTGTCCTTCACTTTGGCTCACCGGCGACACAATGAAGCCTGTAGCCCAGGCAGGAAGCATAAGCAAACAAAACAGTAGGACCTGATTGGTCTATTTTCCCGCATGCATGGGAAGAAGTGTTTGACAGTGGTTCATTGTTATTTACCGAGTGCTTTGCACGTGAGTGATCACGCGTTTTAAGACTGACCTTTGTGCCTAACCTGGTCTAATCAAAGGACTTTGCACAACTTTGGTTATATCCGAACGCTTGTTTCATTAACTTAAGTTTATATTGCCTATGGGCATGTATAAACTTGCTAAATTAAGATTATGGTCTTTTAGCCATTCTGGCAAACTGTTCCATAAACAAGAAGCTCGGTAGCGAAAAGAACGTTGTCCGGTCGCTGTTCTATATAAAGGTATTTCCAATAATTCGCTAGATCTTGTGTTCAAATTGTGTAATTGTGATCTTGTTTGGAACATACGACATAAATATGATGGGGCCATACCATTAACACATTTATAAGCCATTACTGTATCTCGGAATCGCAACATATAATTGACTGGTAACCAGTTAAGCTGTTTTAAAGATGGAGTGATATGGTCGAATTTTTTTGTGCCCGTGACAATACGTGCTGCGAAATTCTGAAATTTTTGCAATTTTGCAATGTTTTTCTTCGATGAATTAGACCATATGGTTGAACAGTAATAGAGTTTACTAAAAACCAACGCGTTTATTAAAAGAATTAACGTCTTCATATCAAAAAGGTGCCTTGCTCTATTAATTTGACACAGGCTACCGACACAAGAGGAAACCAGTTTTGTGACGTGTTCATCGTACGTCAAACCACTATCCAGTGTCACGCCTAGATCAGTGGCTGAGGTCACAGGAAACAGTTTTTTTCCCCAATAGTAAAATATGGAAATCTGCCGGTATCTGTTTCAACATATAACGAGTTGCGAACACAAGTAATTTCGTCTTATTGGGATTAATAAGCAGACTATTTAGAGAACACCAAGAAACGACTCTCCGTAGATCTTCGTTAAGCTTAGCAGCCGCTGAGTTCACTTCATTGACGGAAAATGACAAAAGTAGCTTCGAGTCGTCGACGTAAGACTTCAAATTACCATTCTTTGGTACCATAGGTAAATCATTAATATATATGTTGAATAACATGGGACCGAGAATTGAGCCCTACGGAACGCCATGATTGAGTGTGCGTGTTTCAGAGACAGTCGATCCAATGCGCACAACCTGCTGTCGTCCTGTCAAGTAACTTTTAAACCAACATAAAGCGTCATCGGACACTCCCAATACTTGGAGCTTTTTTAGAAGCAATACATGATCGATACTGTCAAATGCTTTAGAAAGGTCTAGTAGAATTACAGCTACGACCTCCTTGTCGTCCATAGACTTTAAGATCTTATCCGATATAAATAAATTCAATGTTTCGGTGGAGTGCAGCTTCCTGTTTCCACTTTGGTGTACGCTTAAGCATTTCTTCTGTTCCACATATGCGGTAAATTGTTC